TTATATCTTTTGTTGTTTAGCTGACTTGCCCTTTCTCACAGGAATTCAAATTGCACTATGCTCTCACTGTTCTGTCTTCTGTCTCTTTATGCTGCGTCACCTGTAACATCATGGAATCACTTATTAACCAATCCATTATCCTCCACTTAGAGACAAACAACCTATTCTCTAATAAACAATTTGGTTTCAGAAAAAAACTATCCTGCAATCTGCAACTCTTATAATGCAAAAACATATGGACTACACAACTTGATCAGGGCAAAGCAACAGACACAATTTACGTAGACTTCTGTAAAGCCTTTGATTCAGTGGTACATGACAAACTACTCCTAAAATTAAAATCTTATGGAATCTCTGGACACCTGCATAACTAGATAGAAGCATTCCTGTCAAACAAATGGTCAAAATTGGGAGCTTCCTATCAAATAATGTACCGGTCAACAGTGGTGTCCCCCAAGGCAGCGTTCTAGGACCAACTCTTTTCATACTTTACATAAATGACCTCTGTGATCATATTAAGAGAAACTGCTTTCTCTTCGCTGATGATGTAAAGCTATTCAACACCACCGACAATACTGCTAGTCTTCAAAAAGACCTCAGCTATGTGTTAGAATAGTCAAACAAATGGCAACTTCAAATCTCGACAAATAAATGCTCTGTCTTACATATTGTCCAAAAAAAATCAGAAAATAAAATACAAGCTGAATAGTCAAGATCTTGTTGATGACCCAAACTTTGTCAAGGATCTTGGAGTACTCATCTCAAATGATCTAAGTGCTAGAGCCCACTGTAACTACATAGCCAAAAAGACACTAAGAGTTGTAAACCTAATCCTGCATGGCTTTTTCTTCGGTAATATCACTCTATTAACTAGAGCATACAAAACATTTGCTAGACCAATAGTTGAATAGAGCTCATCAGTCTGGAATCCGCATTACATATCTGATATGAATACAGTTGAGAAAGTCCAGAAATATTTCACAAGAAGAGTTCTCCACTCCTCTACTTGTTGCAGAATACCTTATGCCACCAGACTTGAAATTTTAGACCCAGACAACCTAAAAGTACGCTGCCTTCAGTCCAATCTAAGTATAGTACATAAAATTATATATTGCAATGTCCTACCTGTCAATGACTACCTCAGCTTCAACCACAACAATACAAGAGCACACAATAGATACAAACTCAAGGTAAACTGCACCAAACTTGATTGCAGGAAATATGACGTCAGCAACAGAGTGGTCAATATCTGGAATACTCTACCTGACTCTGTGGCTTTTTCCCCAAACCCCAAAAACTTTAACCTTAGATTGTCTACTATTGACCTCACCCCTTTCCTAAGAGGCCTTGAGGGGGTGTGCATAAGCGCACTAACATGCCTACCATCCCTGTCCTATTGGTTTTTTTTCTTATTCGTATCCATTTCATGTATTCATAACCATGTTTATACTTATACCTGTTATCTAATTATCGCTTGACAAAATAAAAAATAATAATAATAATAAAAAAATTATATCTTAACTGACTTGCCCTTTCTTCCCATATCATTGAAATCCACACAAAGTCCTTTATCTGTCCCTGCACCTTCACACTTGTCTCATTCAAAAACAGTATAAATTGAATTTAAGGAAAAAAGGCCAATAAAAATTATCAATAAGAGCCGTTAGGAAAATGAGTCCACTCAGGGAAACATAGTGAGAGTGATGTTGAATAACACATGACCAGCATACATATACACTGAATAGTAAAATGTAGGTTTTACTTCCAGTAAGCAGGTAAACAAAGTCCAATAAACAGTCCAAATCATACACAGTTAAAGCAGTTAGTATTCAATCCAGGGATAATCCAAAAACGAAGTCAAGTATCATAAACAAAGTTCAGTAAATGGAGTTTGCTAACAGTTGCAAGACTCACAATAATCCAAGTAGAATGATGATCAGGCAATACTGCAAAACAGGAAATGCAAGAAGAAAGAAACCAGGTTTCTGTTGTAATGACGAGGCAGTCGAGTTGTTTGATCATGAACAACTGAATCATGATGATCTTTATTGGAGTCTAGTCTTGCATTTATACACATTTTTAATTATCCTCCATCACTAGTTAACTTTGGTTACTGCTTAACTTTCATTACTGTTTAGCACAGTAATTAATACAATTAATTATCTCTAGTTAAAGTCTAACATATGTTTACTTCCTCTCTCTAATCCTCCTTTAGATTAGTGACTTTGTTTACCTGAGTTGTATTTGCTTGGAAACATTCTTTATCTGAGGTCTGCCATCCAATATTGGAACATTCCTGCAATTATAACTCTACAGGTTTCTGGCTCCATCTTATGGCCGTTGGAGGAACCTCAGCCAATCACACAGCATTCTCTTAAAGATACAGTATTAAATTACTATCATGGTTTATATATTTCCAACCCAACTGTTAGGTGACTATCATTCCTAACAAGAGCCAGTGTGGTCTAATGGCTAGAGCACAAGAACAGAAAGCAGGAGACAGAATTCTATCCAGCCTTAAGCATGAAGGCCTACTGGGTGATTTTGGATCCATCACTCTCTCAGCCCAACATGCCTCATAGGGTTGTTGTCATGAAAATACGGGAGGAAGGAGGATTGTGTATGTTTGTTGCCTTGAATTATTTATGAAAATAATAAAGGTGGGAAATAAACAAACCACCAAATAATAAAAGTATAAATGAAGTTAAAGCTGCAAAACATGAATAATGTCGATGAAGTAGTATCCATCAAGGACCAATATATTCAGATTTTCCTTGTTTACTTTGGACCTTCTTCTTTTTCTGGTGTACTTCCCAAAAAAATTTCAGCTACAACTACTTACTATATATTTGTTTGGGACCTCTTCTTGATAAATAAAATTGATGTTCCAAGGTGCAGATTGCTTGGAAAGTTTTTAGCCTTACAATTATTTTCTGGTAATGTAGAAAAATTAGATAGGTGCCACGACTGGTACAGTGGTACCTATATGTGTCATGGGAGACTATAGTTCAAATTTTCCAGTAATTTCAGTCAAATTAAGATTCCTTCAGAGAGAAAATAACGTGACCTTTGTTGCATAGAAGGCAAGGATTTGATTACCAATAAATGACGAAGGATTTTTTTTTATTTAATTAATTTATTTGTTTGATTTGTCATCACTTACAAGATAATAGGTATAAGTATAAACATTAGTAAGAATACAGGAAATAGATATGAATAAATGGGGACAATAGGACAGAAATGGTAGGCACAATTGTGCACTTATGCATGCCTCTTACAGACCTCTTAGGAATGGGGTGAGGTCAATAGTGAATAAAGGAAGTTAAAGGAGTCGGGGTTTGATATAGAGTTAGGTAGTGCATTCCAGGCATTGACCACTCTGTGGTTAAGTTGTACTTTCTGCAATCAAGTTTGGAGCGGTTTACATTCAGTTTGTATCTGTTGTGTGCTCTTGTATTGTTGCGGTTGAAGCTGAAGTAGTCATTGACTGGTAGGACATTGTAGCAGATAATTGTGTGTACTACACTTAAGTCCAACTGTAGGCGGCATAGTGCTAGGTTGTCCAAGCCCAAAATTTCAAGTCTGGTGGTGTAGGGTATTCTGTTGAGAATAGAGGAGTGTAGTACTCTTCTCATGAAATATTTCTGGACTTGTTCAATTGTATTAATGTCTGATATACAATGTGAATTCCAGACAGATGAGCTGTATTCAAGTATTGGTCTAGCAAAGGTTTTGTATGCCCTAATTAGCAATTCAATATCACTGGAAGAGAAGCTTCTTAAGATTAGATTTACAATTCTTAATGTCTTTTTGGCAATGCAGTTACAGTGAGCTCTGGCGCTTAGGTCATTTGATATTTTTAATTTATATAGATTTTTAATTTATATACTGTAGATACATGAGTGGTTAAGATGTGATAGTTAATAATTTGTAAAGTCACAGAATCTGTGGTAAGATAATAGGCAAAACTGTGCGGGTTGATAACAGAACAGCCCCTATTAACTAATGAGAGAGAATCCCAGAAGTGCTTTTGAAAAGGCAACTGGACTTTCTGTTTTTTCTTTGAAGAACTTTTTGCTTCTCATCCAAGAAGCCTCTTCAGCACCTTTGGGACAACCATGACCTGGATAACTGAGAATCTCCATAGATATTGAGAGAGAAATTATAATGTGTAATGTAACGTGTTGCTATTACAATTAACAAACTACTAATAAATCTTTTGATTTCTATATAGTTTTTTAAAGGTTTCACAGAAAAATAATGATATAGAGTTTTAATTTTAATATTTTAATTTTAATATGCACTTTATTTAATGATAATGATTCAAAGAATCATTTGTGGAAAGAGGCTAAAAGGAAAATCTATTCCAAGAAAGGAATGGAGGGGAAACCAAATATGACTGAAAAAAGATCACTATTAGTAAGTTTTATGACAGCTCATGAATATGATGTTATTACTGGTGATAATAATGATTATGATTATAACTAGAGGTGGTATTCAGCAGGTTCTGACCAGTTCTGGAGAACCAGTAGTGGAAATTTTGAGTAGTTCAGAGAACCGGTAGCGGAAATTTTGAGTAGTTCAGAGAACCGGTAGTGGAAATTTTGAGTAG